ATATGATCGAACACCTTTTGTATAGTAATTATTTTTATGTAATTATAAATATTATTATTACTTATTATTACGTGACTTGAAACGATAGAGAGGGAGAGAACGCAAAAGCCTTGAACAGATGTGCATACGCTCAATGGCTATGCTATTATGATTTTTTGTTAACTGCGAAGTAAGAAAAATATGGATGCGACTTTAAAGATTTTAGTAAATAGATATCAATGGATTCATAATTTTTATTTTTCAAGTATGTAACTGCTCGATGTTAAAATCTAAAGAAAATATTACTAAAAAAAATCCACGCGGTCCAGATCCCGTCTGCTGCCTGGACCGTCTTTTTTTCTAATAACAATAATAGGCTCCACTTTATTACAAGTAAATACTGATTAGACATGGTGATAATATTAGATTTTAACATGTATCAATATTTTCTTTAAATCTAAAAAATGCCATTGTTGCAATAGTTTTATGTGCAAAACATCTATTGGCAAAGACAAGTTTGAGCAGTACCCCTACAAATAATACTAAACCGTTCATCAATCATCTATCCATGATTCTTTTTTTACGAACCATTATCGAATTCGAATAGTTTGCGAGTCCAAAATGTCAATGTCAAATTTTGTATGAAAACTTAAACAGCAGCGCCTCAGAGTACGTAACGAGAACTAAAAATCAGTACACATTTGACAATGAAATTTCGGACTCGCAAACGTTACTAATTCGATATTGGTTTGTGCTAAGGGTACAGTGAGTTTATAATATTATGCACCGTAATTTTCCCAACACAATTCAAGCAATAGAAATGGTCGATACAAATTAAGTTTTATTTCATTTTGTTACAATTTTTTTTTTCTTTAAACATCTTATGTATGTTACTTCATCTTATGTATGAAAATCTATCGATGATTCTTTTGTTATATGAAATCACATCATGCTGGCAGACAAGCTTATAATTAACCTTGTTAAGTTTATTATCGTTGTAAATGCTGGATCATTTCACTAGATACACTTGCTACGTGTATGTTTTTCATTGCAGCAACATAACAAAAATAATACAACAGTCACGATCTCGTTGGTGTGACTTTAAAATAGGTATCTACTCAATATTTAATGCAACCACAATATACTTTACTTAGTAACTTTAAAATACTTATGTTTTTATTTATTTTTAAGCATTTAACTGCTAGATCTTTAAATCTAAAGAAAAGTTTACTAGAAAAAAAATATACTTTTTTTACCACACACACCAATTAGCCTAGCGGATAGAATACAGACACTCGATACTTATATAAGTATATTTTATCCAGAAGTGTATAAATACATCCATGACTAAGGTACAGATGTTCGTATTCATCATACTAACATTTGCCCTCACCGGGATTCGAACCCTCTTAGTGGGACCACTTTGAAACCGGGCGTATATATAACACTCGGTCGCGGAGTTCGTCAATAACATGCATACATTATTTTTGAAATAATGTTTACAGAGGATATAATTGTAAAAAAGTACATAGATTATCGTTAACGAAACTGTATAATTTATTTGTGGAATATCCATACTATTCTTTTGATGAAGACAGCGTGTTAACAGGTGTTTTCTTTTACAAAAGCTTGCAGATTATATCCTTAGTGTTGTGGCCGGTCGGCGCTATTGTTGTATTATAATCCCGTATTTCACTTTACTCGGTCGGGAAACGATGAACATTTGTAATAGGTCTATTGATTCGACTAGTGTTACGAGGACTTTAAAAAGGAATATTTAGAATGGTAAATATTTATATTTCGTCCAATTATAATAACTTACTAATCATTGCATTTAAATATTGATATGTAATTAGATAACCAATGTATCTACCTATTTGATTGTGCCTGCGACATTCACAGTAATTCCATGCAAGAATCTAATTAGCGAATTCTTGATATCGAGAAGCAGCCCACACTCCCCGACGCGCATTGGGGGGACTGCGATCCTCAGAATGCGCGCCGGGTGACCGGTGCAGGAGTATTGTTTGGTTTTTAGTGGCCCTGTTCAGGGCGTAAGGAGGGCACTGATAATTTCATCGAGCTTCAGGGCTGGCTGAAGTGAGCAGGGAGGAGTCTAGTCCTACCCTACATACTTTCTTCTCGCTCCCCCAGTGGTTGATGGATGCGTGAGGCATTTCCCAGATATAAAAAAATACGATTTGCACCTCCCCGTTATCTCTGTTATGGGGGGGGGGGCTCTCTTGTGGGTGTGTACCCGTGGACCACAGCCCCGACTCCCTGCCTTTAATCCGGTCCTGTCCAGAAGTCTTTTGCTATCTTCGCAAGTGGACACCATCACCACGCTATTAATACCCCCATTAATAGGGCACAGTCCTACGGACCACGTACGAATTAGTGGGTGCTAATAACCAACTGCCATAGAGCAACACGGAAAGAAGTAGTCATAGCGAAATAATTGTGTCGCTTCTGACACTATTCTCTAAACCTAACCTTGACAACAGTGTATCCTTGCCATTCTCTATACAGAAAAAAGGTAGAGACTGATCTTAAATTTAGTTTTTATGTTAAGGTAACTATGCCAGAATCGACACCAATGCTATTCAAATCATCGTGTTTTATTGCGGATGGAACATGCGTAACAGCGTAGTTTAACGTTAATGCGTATAAAACAAAACTGTACTAACGACACGAACCCGCACACTTCGCTATCCGGGTGAATGCACTGACCAATTATGCTACCGTGGCCCTGACGGCCGTGTCGATTTTTTCTCTAGCCTTAGTCTGCAACGCAGCGCCATCTCTTCGCATTGTAGGTAACCCACGATGTCAAATAACACCGTGGTAGCATAATTGATCAGTGCATTCGCCCGTATAGCGTAGGATGCGGGTTCCAGTCCCGTCTGCTGCCTGGTCCGCGTGGAAATATTTTTCTAGTAAACTTTTCTTTAGATTTGAAACGTCTAGCAGTAAAATGCTTAAAAAAATAAAAACAACTTTGCTAACGACACCCACATAAAATCAATGACACAATGCACCACCAAATTTTGCACACATATCGGTTGCATGCCCAATTCGACGGAGAGGAAAGCTGTGTATGCCCACTCCCCTCTCGGCCTTGTTGCTCGATGCGGACTTCAGATGTAGCCGAGACCATCGGTTAACATTACTTTCAAAGTAGAAGGCAAAAAATACAAAATATAAGTAAAGTAGGTATACGTATTCAAATGAATAGAAAATAAAAGAAATTATTAGATATTCTGTACAAATTTAATTTATAATAACACCCACGTTTATTGTCACAAAACGAACTACATATAAGTTGAATAAAGGTTGGTGCACATTACTGATAACGAATCGACACCGTTTCGCCTATAACATAAGAGCCGTTTGATACCGTTACCATACTGGAGCTGTAAAATTTACAATCGATGTATCGTGAGCTTCGCCGTTCCATAGTCTACTCTACGGCATTAAATTTATCGACAATGGAAAGACAAAATCGCTTATACACTACTTTGTTCGAAAATGAGTTATATATATAATTAGAATCAGATTTTTTGATGTGTAACATGTTTCCTCTCGCTTTCCTGCAATTTGTGGGAGTGATTTCATGAAATAGGACGGAAGTGTGTAACAAGAGGTTTCAAATGTTACACATCATACGCGACTACTGTAAGGTTTGCTCGTTTTTTCTGTGTTGATCTATTTATGTTTTGTGAAGATTTGAGTACTTTTTTGGCGCTTAAGCAACTCAATTTTTTGATGATTTTTATTGTTCAAAACGCTGAAGCGACATAAATGTTGGTGTTATTTGCTTACGCCCTACTATTTGGCGTATTATTTGATGTACGTGAGTGATTTCTGCTTAAGAGACATCTTATTCGTAAAGGCAATGTACCTTTTTAATAGGAGGATATTTAGAAAGTCTAATTTTATGAATACTTTTTTATTTTTATGGCGCTACTTCTCATTTACAATAAGTTATATTTTTTTTTTGTAAAGTAAGGAACTTTGATCCTCATTTCAGTAAAGTTACTTAAGTGGCGTTTAAGCAATTGTACTTTTCCACTGTCGTTATGTAAGCTAGAGTAGAATGGGCGACAATGGCAACCACAATATGATAGAAAGTCAATCTCAAAGAGTACAGGCACTGATTAGTTTGCAATACATTAGAGAGTTCATACAAACTATAATGAAAGGTTTTGGTGTTTATGCCGATCAGTTTCCGATTCGATATATGTGCACCAACCCTAAAAGTCCTTACATTGTAAAAGAGATACATAAATTACAACATAAAACTATGATGTGTGAGTTTGTATTTAAAAAGTTAACAGAGTTGTAATTAAACTTTTACTTTTAAATCTATGTTCCTGGTGAAGTCTTTTAACTGATTTTGCTTTCCCATTCAAAGTTAAAGCAAGTGTAAATATTACATTTACATACTCCTTTACCAACTGTAATAAAAGGAATCAAAATAGTGCCAATAATTAAGTGTCAAGTCACTAGCTTATAACTCGAATTAGTATCTGAAATGCTTGATACGTAGGGTGTTTTAATGTTTTTGAAAAATACCTTAAGGCTGCGTTTCCACATGAGCGGAACTGCGTGTACCTGCGCAGTCTTAAAGAAATTGACCAATGGCAATGCTCAAAATACACAAGCAATGTATTTAGAGCAATGCTATTGGTCAATTTATTCAAGACTGCTCAGCTGCAACCGCTGCACGCAGCTCCGCTTCTATGAAAACGAATTAACCTTAGTGAGCAAAGTCATTATTATATAAAAAACAATAAATATAATTATAATTTTATTACACGATTTAAGTGCAAAATTTTATATAAAAAATGATTTTATCAGAGTTGCAGTATAAGAAAAAATTTAAGAAATTCGACACGTATCATTAGTTTTAAAGATAGAGGTAGTGGTACGAATTCAGCATAGATTGTTTTCTAGTAAAAACTCTCTTTAAACAATATTTTCTCATAATATGAATGAATATATTACATTTATTTCATAAAATAAATTTAAAATCCTACTTAATTATTTATGTATTAATATCTAGCTACACAGCTCCTATTTGTAGTATTGGTAGAGTCAGTTGGAATGCGTTTTGTATATACGTCGAACTGTTGCCAGACTGGAAAAAACAAAAACACAAATTGATGAATAGAAAAATAAGTATAAAAATGTTTTCACGATTTTGAATGTTAAGAAAGTTTCGGTCAAAGGTTTGTCTTCGGATGAGTGATCGATCATACTGTATATTATTTTTCAGTTACTCTGTGGTCCAGAAGAAACTTAAAGCTGTTGCTTCAGATTGCATTATCAAACATTTGTTCCTAGCAATCCGTATTGAGCCCCTGTGTAACGGTTTCTGGCCCATCAATGACCACGATTTTTTAGGTAACAAGGCTTGCTTATCGAGCAAATACTAGGAGGAGTATATTAACTAGTTATTTGTAATAAGAAAACGGCAATTATTCAATGTAGCACAGCTTCTACCAATGTCACACTGACGTCACTAGTTAATAGAGCCACTCATCACTAGTGGCGCTGATATCAGTTCGATTCTATTTTTTGTGGCGTAGATACAAATTTAAAAAGAAACTATTTTTGTGTACCTGCTTGTATACCGTCCGGTGCCCATAAATTTTATCAGTTAACTACACAAATGACAAAATAATTATAATTCTATTCTAAATAACTCGATAATACTGCCATCTCGTAAAGAATAACTGAACTTATTGGTACTCATCAGTACCTTTAGCAGTTTGAATTTGATTTGATTGAAATCATATTTTAATACAAAAGATCCGTATCGTAAACGTAATCGACCATGCCACAGTGTTGCGCAGTTCCGTTTGTTCGGAAAAAGGCGAATATAATAATTTTTCTTAGCTCCTTTTTAAATCACTTTCATTCTTAGACGCGTAACTCATATTTGCCATAATTAATCTGAGTCATTAGCAAATATTCATAATTTTAACAAGAAATAAACCCTCGTAGTCAACCCAAGCAATAACATTTGACATTTCCGAGACTACACGCTACACAAGCACCTTTAGTGGCGGATTCATACGCGATAGCCTTCATTCGAATAGATTGCGAGTGCGAAATGTCAATGTCAAGTTTTGTATGGTAACTTGAACAGCAGCACAGCCACAACGGACGTAATGAGAACTAAAAATCAGAACACATTTGACAATGACATCTCGCACTCGTAAACTATTCGAACTCGATATTGGTTATGCCTGCAAGCAGCGTGCTATTATATTCCCTACTTCGCTACTCGCTCTAAGTGTGATAACGGCGATATTGGCGTTCCGTAGTTCTTACCGAGCGGTTAATCAGATTACTTAACAGTGCAATTACACTCGCGGCTCGCGGCTCCAAATTCGCGCGAGCCGGCCATGAGACGAGCTTATGTTTACACTATCGCGGCGTGCTCATTTGTTATTGACCTTTGAACGATGGCCCATATCGATATATTATTAAAAGCGTCTCTACTCTAACTTTAGTGAGCTTTTACTACTACGCACGTAATTTACAGTTGCCATGAGTGATTTTTTTGGCTTTAAAATCAACTACGGGTCGGCGCATTTCATCACTTAATCTAGACCCCGACTCATTTGTAATTTAATAAACCGCTAACGCGAGTGTAAACACACGCTCGCATCCCCTGCGAGCTCCTTTGGCTCGTGCCCGAAAAACCGCTCCCGATGCGTGCCCGGCGAGCCAGGAAACGAGTCGCGAGACGAGCCGCGAGCTCACGTTTACATTCACGTCTCGCGGCTCGTCTCGTGGTCCGTCTCGTGGCTCGCGCGAGTGTAAATGAGGTATTAGAGCGGACGCGAGCTGAGAAACATTTGAGAAATATGTGTTTCAAAAAACCATTGTTGTCGTGCATTGGCAAATACCGAGCGATAGGGATAACAGCAGCTAACGTTGAAAGGAGATGGAAAACGGTGGGCCTAAATGTAAGAAGTTGAGATATGATCTTAAAAAAAAGTCATATTTTTTATCTAAGAATATGAAAAATATAAAAATATTGAGAATTGAAGTGATAATTCTCAATCTGGAAGCGGAGAAATATGAGAAAGGTAGTTTTCGTGATATTATCGATTCAGTAATCGATTACACAGTTACGAAAATAAAACTTATGCACTAAACAAATAACTCAAAGTAATTAAATGCACTATATATACTTATATGCAATATAGTGCATATAATTACAGTCACATTAATAAATCAAATATCAATTAATTACTGCAATATCAATATTAATGATTATCGATTTCATATCGATTCAAATCTCTCTTTTATGTCACTGACATGACAGCTGGCTGACATTGACACTAGACAGTTGCCGACTGATCTTCTTTGCTCACTCGTTTCGTGTTTTCGTCATTTTTCACGACCACTGCTTTGTATTTTACGGATTCTGACCCTGCCTACCTTATACGACCCTTGCTTTCACTTTGGACACCGAAGATTTGACTTGGAATTGGTTTTTTGGATTTTACCGCCGGCTTGTGGATTGGATATTATTCACACTATGGATCATTGCGTAAATTGTGGGATATCCACTGGTCACAAAAATACACTGGGCCGACGACCCTTACACGATGAAACAATTCTGTCAGTGATTCGGCACTGGCTTGCACCTGTCTGTAAGTAAATATAACCTCATCTAACCAGCTACCATCCTGGTAGGTTTACCATAGCTGGGCTAGGTACCAAGATCATATAGTACCACCTGCACAATTTCTAGACGACATTTTAATTATAATAGAAGACGAATAAAACACTATATTAAATGATTTTTATTTTAGACATCCTTTCCCTATCTCCTTACCTGTTATCAACCCATCGCTTGAAGTCGTTGACGTTCATTCATATGATTTTTCAAACATTTTCTAGTAAATATAATAACTATTAGTGCAAAAGAACACATTTTGCACTTCAAGAATCAGCTGTTAGTTAAATATTGTAACATAACCTCACTTTTACTTAATCTCTTATATCTCTGTTCTCAGATTGACAAAATCCGCAGAATTGTCAGTGAAAGGTTGATAATATATCTTCTTAACACCTAGGCCCAAGATTGAATGTAATCGTTTCAGTCTCCTTTGCGTATTATTTAGAGTTCCATGTTATAGTAATTATCATAAACCATTGAGCTTTTCAATATATCACTAATTTTAATTAACATTACAAATTATTCTGACGACGCATACCTGCAAAGGCTGCGAAACGTCAATAAATAAATAAAATCAGTGCATCTAACCAGTTCAAACTAGTTTTATTTAACATTACAAATTCTTAACAAGCCATTAAGGTACAAGTTATTGTGTGTGAAAAATATCTTTATGATAAAAATATATTTTTAGAGCTGCGAATCGATAACAACACTATAATCGACCTTATAAGGTGCAAATTAGCTCGCAGGCAACCAACGAGATGAAGTAGGCTATTAACGCGGTAGGTATACGCATTTTTGTAGAGAGTGATTTATCTATATAAAAATACATATTGATTTTTAAAAATATATTAGAAGAATTATAATTATTATTTCTATTTCTTCTTTCAGATATACTTGTAAAGGTATTCATTGGAAATTGTGGGTTATCTACAATGCGAAGAGATCGCGCTGCCTTGCAGCTTAAGAAAGGCTAGAAAGAATTCGACACGGCCATCAGGGCCGCGGTAGCGTAATGGTCAGTGCATTCGCCCGGCGCTATCCGGGCGTTGTGCGGGGTGCGGTTTCGAGTCCCGTCTGCTGCCTTTTGTTTTTTTTCTAGTACCTAATATTTTCTTCAGTGATACTAATTAATCTATAACTTCACTTGTTTTCGTCGTATTTGCTACGTAGTTCTCATTGACAAAAAAAATGTATCTTTCAATACATTTTTTCGTCTCCAAAAAACAAATTTTCAAAGCTACACTTTATGCCAAATTTCGCCACAATCTTATTTAAAAAAATCCCGAATACCGTCAACAAACAATAAGTAACAGATTTGCAATAAAATCTTGAAAAGACAAATACATTTGTCATAATGTACTTACTTCTAAAAATATGTTAGTGATGTAAGTATTGACTTGATCTTTATTGTCGGTTTCTATAGAGTTCATATTCGCGGTGAACAACGTCGCTAACTCGCCAACGTGCTTCGTAAGTACCACTGTCATTCTGGAAAGTAAAATTAACAACTGCTGATATCTAACAATTACAACCAACTGTAATGCACATCATAGATTAGCAATAACTCAGCCAATTCGTGCTAGAATGAGGTAAGGTTGTTAAGAAAGACTCATTTATGAAATTATTTGAAGTATGTACCTATTTAAATATTTGAAAATTTTACAAGATTTTTTTTTTTATGTTAAAAGTGTGGCAAACAATCACATATGCGCTTTCGATATCAAAAATATCACTCGCGCCTTGCCTACTCTACCCAATACCCCATCGCGTAGAGCCATGGTTTATTATTTAATTTTATTCTGCTAACATAGGCTGTTACGGTTGCCTGGAAAAAATTGCTTCTTAGCGATAAGGCCGCCGATTATTCTATAATGTAATAGTCTTAATTAATTGTAATTTACAATCTCATGGTGCACAATAAAGTGATTCATTCATACATAGGCATAACTGACACGGCCTGCCGGACCGCATTCTTTTGTAAAAGAATGAAATGAAAGTCATTGAGCACTCACTGAGTCATCGCATCGGCTTCATCAGCCGTTGACCTCCTGGTCTTCACTAATAACATTTCAGCCGTTTTATGGTAAATCTCAACGGCTAAAGCAGTGGCTTGGGCCAGACTGCTTACTGCACGTTTGTATACAGCCTTCTCGTTCAGATTGCTGTTTGAGCTGAGCCAAGCCAGAACGTCTGTGTATTGTCTGAAAAAAAAAGGAAAATATAAAGGGATTAAAGTAATTTCTTATGGTTTTTAAGTATGGTTATAGACATCGACCTTACATGTAGAGGACAACTTATGTGACTGAAAACATTTAATTCTTAATTAGCGAGAAATCGGCTAATCAGTAAAAATCATGAAAACTTAATTTATGGCAAATTAAAATATTTTTAGCATTTTATCTGCAATAAGAAGTAACTACACGACGAGTGCATCACGCTACAAGAAAAATAAAATTTTGTCAAAAATTCAAATTCAAACAATGAGATTACAATCAGCAATTAGTCCCTTAGCCACCATTAATCAGATCTTTGTTTAGAATTTAATTCCTTCTTCGCGAAATGTAAGTAATCTGTTATAGTTTGACTATTTTCATTAATTTTGAACTGTTTTCAATTTTAGATCATGCGGATATTAAATATAAAAATGGTAATGCGAACATTAGACCAAAGATTGCAACAAATTGAAGATTTGTCATAAAAATAAGTATTCATGGTTTTTACTGAATAGCCAATTTCTCGCTAATTAAGAATTTATTTTGTTGTGCGAACAGAATGAGCTAATAAAAATTAAATGTTTTCAGTCACATAAGTTGTCCTTTGCATGATAGTAATAAGATTGCCATTTCTAATTGCAACACGCTAGGTTAAATTATTCTACTGCATGCTTCTAATGGCCCATTTACATTTAACCACTGGCGTTTGTGTTGCTATTAGAAGTTCTCCAAAATACTATTGTAGCAACATCAAAGGAAATGTGTATTTATATTATCGCACCGTATTGCTTTCATACTTTCATCAATCAAGGGATATGAGTGATTGGTAATGAGAGTGAGTAGGACAGCAACAACAGAGCTTGCACTGCGCTCTTTGATCGCACGAAAGCATTCTTGTACGATAAACGGGCAATGCCTAAGTCAACGTCAACCCCACCCTATTTACGTTGGCATCTCTCAGGGCTCGCCACTCTGGCCCATCCTCTACTCGGTCTTTACGAACGACATGCCCAAACCTCCTAAAGTCGATCTCGCGCTTTTCGCCGACGACACCGCCCTCTATACTTCCGATAGACGTCTCGGAACAGTCTGTAATAGACTTCAATTAGCCGCTACCACCCTTGGCGATTGGTTCCGTAGATGGTGTATCGAGGTTAATCCGGAAAAAAGCGTCGCGATCCTCTTTAGCACGATACCGCCTCCAACGCGTTTTCCTCCGAGAATCCAATTATCAGACCGGGTCATACCCTGGGAGGACCGGGTCAAGTATTTGGGAGTCATGTTATATAAACGATTGACGTTTGCACCTCATCTCAAGATAGTTCGTGATCGCGCAGCATTCATTCTCGGCAGGCTATTCCACCTCATAGGGAAGCGTAGTAAAATGTCACTTAGGCATAAGATGACAATTTACAAAACTTGCATCCGCCCTATCATGACCTACGCGAGTGTTTGCTTCGCCCGCGTACTTCCGTCGCGTCTTAAACCATTACAAATGCTGCAAAATCGTGTGTTGCGCGGTGCCACGGATTGCCCGTGGTATGTGCGCAACATCTATTTGCATCGCGATCTCAAGTTAGATTCCATCGCGAAGTATATGAAGGACGCGTCGAGACGTTACTTCGATAAAGCCGCGTATCATCCGAACCCCTTAGTAGTCAAAGCCGCTATAGTTATCACACGTCCGCCCTCCCGTCCTCCAATCGTAGGTCTCTCCGATTCCGTCGGCCTAGGCACGTCTTAGACTATCCCGACAACGAAATCACCCGCGCCAACGCACCTCCGACTCCTCCCACACAGGCCACAAACACCAACACTACACAGCTAGCATACTTGCACTCTAGCTTAGCATTAGGCAGACACCGCACCCGTAGGATAAGAGTGCGAGGACCCGGTCTACACACGACACGCTAAACCAGGTACAGGTACGTACCTGGGCGTTTTTCCCGCCCCCCGCGACAGCGGGTAACTAGTGCCGAGGTCCAAGTCTCTCTAATTGAGCCGACCCCTTCAGGTTCGAGGGGTCTAGAGGATCCAGACGGAGAGGAGACTACCCCCGTGGGGAGATGCCATCCGCCTGGAATACCTCTAGAGGCACTCGCCAATTCTCGGCTTGAGGCCCCTTAGGATCTCGCCGTCCCCAAGCCCGGTGACGCTGTAAAGGTCATCTGCGACCAACAGCATACACACACAAAAAAAATATAATAATACGAGTAAGTCAGCTGTAATGGAAGCGACCTGTTTACATGATCGCATTACCCTTTTTTGTAGGTAACGCATGATTATATTTTTCGGGTACAAAAAGGGAGAAAAATGCTCCTCCTTTGAAGCTATTTCATTGAGTCTCCGCAAAATTTCTTATTGCACGTTATTAAAAAACGATAGAATTGAAACGTATGCTTTTCCTCCACTAATTTCTCCTTGTGAGTAGGCACAATATGACACTCCCAATTTTCCTACAAATTGGAACACATGCGCCGTGTACTAAGATCTGCTATCGCTGCTAGTTGCCGCGAGAGCAATTAATTAAAGAACAATTAACTAATTCCATTAAGCCTTATTTTATTTTGATATAAACTCAATTACTTTATAGTTGTACCTCCATCAATATTTGTAAATAAAAATTCTTTTTGATTTAGAAATTTATTATATGTATGTGCGAAATACCTGTGGGAAATTCAAATTATTTTAGTAAAAAAATATTTAACAATAAAGCATCACAGGATATGCCAATGTCATCGAGATTATAGTACGAAAGCGTAGATGTCAAAACCGTGTTCCTCGTAGACACCAAGTGCAACTTTTTACTATGACATTAATATTTTTACCAAAAATGTATAAAGCATACTATTTCATTGACGCAGGTTCCGACTACCATTCTCAATGAGTGTGAGGAACGCAAAATGTCAGTATCTAAGAAAGGTCATTAATCTTATTTGTAGGTTTTTGATGTATCGTGACGTCACATATAAGCGTTCGAAAATAGCGCGTGTTCAAACTGCCCGTGCATATTGAAAAATTTAAACTTTAAACTATTTTTTCGACGTTGATATTTTTTGTACTGTATAAACGGGATGTAAACTACTACAGTAAAAATATAAAAAAACATACATAAATTCCCTTTTAACTTCTTCTTTTTTGCCGGTCACATTACATGTAGGGTGGTAATTATATTTATGATTATACTAAGTAAACGGGATATAACATCGTCTATAGGCTTCCCATATGATGTGTGTGTCTGTCTGTGTGACATGATAAAATTACTTGCGTAAAAAAAACTTACTTGACAATTGGTTGGAACTGTAGTTTGAGGCCCAAGTCTTGCGTCGCGGTCTGCAGTCTATCGTGCAAGGCGTCAGGTTTGGACTGGTGTTCTGGCGCTTCGTCATCGTCTTCTTCGTCTTCTGGTATTTCGCAGAGCTCTGCACAAGTATATAACAATAACTTCAGTTTTTTGCGAGTCCCACAGGAACCTAACTTTTTTCTGGGATAAAAATCTTATCTCATCATCTCATCGCTCATTTGCTTTGCGCGAGGTGCCGAATGGTGTTACTCACTCAGTGAGTTACCTCACACCGGGTGGATGCAATAAAAATATGAAATGAATGAGAGTGAAATACGAAATAGTTTTTTTTATTTACATTTCTAATCTTCGCAAAATAATGATTTTGTATTCGTATTTTGCTATAGAGCAACACGGAAGGGTAGTAAGGGAGTAGTAAGGGTAGTAAGTAGTGGTAAGGGAGTAGCCATTGAACTTATTTTACTTTTTGCACGGGGGGTGGGGGGGGGGGGGGGGGGGGGGGGGGGATATGCACACAAATGCAGTCTAATATACATTCGCAAAAAATGGACTGTAATTAAGACACTCGCACATAACAAATTACACAATACACGGCCAAATCCTGCACAATCAATCCTTTTTGTGCACGAATAAGTCACGCCATATATTTTGATACGTTCTTTACGCCAAATGGGCTTGACTCAAATTTATCGACATCACAGTATTTACGAATTTGGATTTGAAGTAATTATCACAATAATATCAGCAAAAACACCAGGAACTGAAACTTTCGTATTAAATTCGACAACAGCAAATAACATTGTCATAAGAAAAAAAAACTTTTATATTCAGTATGGGCTCGAGACTTTGTACGGAGAAGGACCAGCAATAGGGTATTTGACAAGTTTCACAAAACGATCTCACGTGATTGACTAATGTTTATGGAGTCCGCAAAAAGTGGATATTCATCATTCTGTTGTGTATTTCAGTAAAAATAACCAAATCAAAAACTCCATTTTCAAGTTGCCGCGAAAACGTTTTTCTGGACAATATGGCGTCTTACTAGTGTGTGACGTCACACGACTGTTATTAAAACGTCAAACGATACAATGTAATGTCACTTTAACCGGAAGTTTACTTCCGTGTGACGTCATTTTAGGCTCCGCCAATCTCAAGCGTTTTGGGTCACGTGACAATAGACAAGAAAACTATTATCTTTTTCGTGAGTTTTTAGTAAAATTATGAATATTTTTTTATAAAAATAGTAACAACCCCTGCCAATATTCATTCTAAACACAGATGCTAACAATTGGCACTTTATTTTTAATATTGTCAAATACCCTATTGAGTTCGTAAAATTACATTTTGTATGACTACTATAGAGTCTTGAGTGCTTCATGATAGGAAATAATAGCTTTTCAATATTGACCCCTTGTTTTATTTTATCTGCGTATTGACCATAGCTTTTGTTAATTTTTGGCTGCTTCTGTATATGTAAAAGGCAACCGTTACTGACTGATATAGCAATTTATCAAAAATCTGATTGTAGTTCTAACTACAAATATAATTATAATAATATATGTATGTATTAGTATAATATGTACATATTCTATCCGTTACCCTAGCATCCCATAACACAAGCCTTACAGCGCATACTTTGGCGCTAGGCTAATTGATGTGAGTGTGGGAAAAATATCCATATTCAAATATTCTCATTTCACATATAAGTAGAATTATTAACATATTATTTCTATTTAACCACTTTTAAACACAAAATTCATTTTACTATGTTAAAATTCAATCTCCAGCCTTGTTTGATCCTATCTTCGCGACTGGACTCCACTTATACTTAACATCAGATGGGAAGGAGTCTCAATCATCAACTCATCGATTTGTTGCGTCACATTTAAAAAAAAGCCCGATTCGCACTGGCCCCGTGTGGTTGATGACTGCCTAATCTCCATATTTGGGAGCCTTTTTTTTGACGCAGGCAAAACCCTTATTTAAAGACGACGGCGCCTTTAAGAGGCACACCGCCGAACGGACCTCACACGTGGCTCCTGCAAGCTTTACGAGCCCCCGCAGTGGCTGCCCATTGAGGACCCCGTAACTCTTACAGGCGCTTTACGGCATAATATCCGCTAAAACCCTCGAATTCCCTACCCTCTAAGCTCCTAAGTGCGAAACCGTGGGATCCTCGCTTAAGGATTCTGCCGCGTATATTTATATTCGGGAAAGCCTGCTGATGATGATGATGACTCCAAATAAATTTACACTATGTCAGTATCGGATAAGCACTGCCTTGTCTTGTATTAGGAATCAGTAACAGACTCTGTATAAATATGCTTCTGTTGGAATATTAAAATGATAAAGAACAACACTTCTGGCCACATCTATCGGCCCACTTAGTATTATAAGTTTCAATGAACTGTTGCAAAAATATAATTAAGTTAGGTTTGAGCAATAGTAATATATTATCAAAAACACGAAAGCTGGGAAACAAATTAGTTTCAAAACTGCGTAAGAACTTTTTGCTTGACGTAACGATTATTTTCAGCTTATGGATTATGGTCCCACCAAATAGGCCAAAACTTAAAATGCTAGCTGGGTCGAAAGATGAGTTCGGGAGTATATTTTAAATAGTGAAAACAACTCGGTAACCATTATATAAGGTGCAAAATTGTTTGCCCACTGACCTACGACTTGCTGCATTGTTTCTTTGATATCCTGCTTCTTCTCCGGTTCGGCTGCTCGCAAACGTTCTTCTATCCTCATGTTTACTTGTTTAGAGAGCATTTCCAATGCTTCTAGATGTACTAAGCCTGAAATAAATTGTATTGTTTGTTGAATACTGCACAGAAACTTATCGAAAAAAGTTTGAGTTTATATTTTTCGTACCAAACAATCCAAGACACATTAAAGGTATCATACCTATATTAAAGACGCAATTACACTTGGTCGGTAGCTCGAATAGGAGATTCCAATGGAATTCGGGTAAACGATTAGGAGAAATGAAATGTAAACGAACGGAGTCGACTACGCCCGTATTCGGGTAGTTTTCGTTTTGGTTACCCAGCCCGATACCGTCTTCCAGCCCGTACTCCAGTGTAATTATTGCTTAGGGTACCCGAATTCGAGTAATGTCTTTCGTGCACCCGAATACCGGGTAACGACCAAGTGTAATTGAGCCATTTGTGTAAATGAACGGAGTCGGGTACACCCGTATTCGTTTTGGTTCCTTCCAATGTGGCATCACTGAGGTACGTTCCAAATAGAAAGCGATGGCAGGGTATTATTCCAGGACTGGAACGTGAGTTAAACAATTTAAATAATGTATACGGACTAACGACCAAATGTAATTGCGCCTTTATGCTAATGTAAATTAGAGGATAGAGAAAATAGTACAAAATAAGGCTGAATGGAATCAAATTCTTTGCCTATGCATATGGGAGTGTCATTTTATTTATTACTACTGATTTCTTTTACGATTAACTTACTAAATAACTTTTTGTCGCTGCAGAAACACAGTAATGCGAAGTGTTTTGGCTGCAGTATTATATACATATAATTTAAGATCCGACCTCATTTTGATAAGCACTTTAGAAGTTAAACGAATCTGTTCACAACTAGGTCCTGTCATACTTTACAATCTGTACACCAGACCATTATGTTCCCATGAGGTACAGTAATGAGTTTTACTGTACTCTATACATAAATTACAAAAAGCAACTTTCTACCACTAACCTTCGAAATCATCAAACAAGTTTTCGTAGTGCACCTCCTTGGCTTCTCTCTTCTCTTCTCTGATTTTGTCTTCTTCATCGGCCTTGGCTTTAGCCTCCCTCAGTATCTGTGAGAGCACTGGCTTCTCACCAGGATCTAGGCCTAGCATAGCTCGTTTCTTGGCCAATCCAGGGTCTCCATCTTGTAAAACCTCCATGGTCTTTTTGCCGATTGTCTCTAAAGTGTCTAATCCACCTGCTATTACTTTGGTGCCTAGAAATAATTTCGATGAGATTGATAGCATAATATTGGATGCGTGGTGAATATTTAAAGAAAAAAGTTACACTCATACTTTTATTGATAAATGTTCAATATCACTAAAATATTGTCACAAACGCTCTGGAACCAAAGCCACGATCATACTGGAAACAGATATACCTAGAACACAGCGATTCACGACGTAAATGAGCTCGACAAAGGCCGAGTGGTGCGGTACATTCCAATATAAGCCTTAACCCTTGGCGTAAGAGTGAAAGTGCAGTGAAAAATGTCTAATTGGTTTACAACTCTTGCGCGCTCTTAACGTATAAGTACTCGCCGGTGCTAGTGAACTCGGAATTAAACTAGACTTTTCTGAAATGCGTTTGGCGTATAAGGGCGTGTGGAGTTCGCAGTGGACAAGCCGAGGTCCGAGTAGATGCCCTCTAGTTAGGCCGACTCCTTCAGGTTCGAGTGGTTCGAGAGGCTTCAGACAGAGAGGAGACTCCCCAGAGGGGAGATGTAATCCGCCTGGGATACCTCTCTAGAAGCATTCGCCAAGTCTCGGCTTGAGGCCACCTTAGGATCTCGCCGTCTCCAAACCAAGTGACGCTGTAAAGGTCATCTGCGACCAACAGCATACACACTCAAAGAAAAAGTTGAGTTTCAACAGCGACTTCGGAACGGTTACAGAGGCAACTAAAGTGAGAATAAAGTGTTTGTGTGATGCGATTGATACCGTGAGTGTATTATGATAAGTTTGTTTGCCATTGAATTGTGTGAACTATATGTGCTGAATATAGAACTGTCAAGCGTGAACTGGTATTATAATTTCAAACCCCATCCCGATACGTAACAATTTATAATATAAAAATGAATCGCTGAATGTGTTGCTAAGCGCAAATCTCGAGAGCAGCTGAACCGATTTCGATAATTCTTTTTTTTGAATATTCCTTGAAGTTCTAACCCAGAGAAAAAATAAAAAAAAAATGCCTGAAAAAGTACAAAAACAACACTTTTCTATACTCCCATACAAACGATTCGTAATAATACTTAAAAGTCAATTTGAACTTTAATACCATACCATAAATTTCAAATGTTAGTGGAGAGGTTCCAGGAAGGCAAAACAATTGAGTGACGTGATGTCAATAGAAGTTTGGAAAAGGCAAATACATATAAGTAACATTTTCAGTTTTTTTTATAATTATATGAAGAGTCATTTTAGTCCACACTACAGCTCTACACGGAAGCGAAGCGAGGGCGGACCACTAGTACCATAATAAATGACACTTGTAATCTGAACTTCATTAGTTTCATTTTTTCGTATATTTATCAGTTCTTACATTTCTTATACCATTGAGTAGAAGGTACACATACCTGTAGTCTCCACAAATTTAGTGACACCAGAGAATAAGCTGCCAAATGGGAAAGATCCCTCATTAGGGCTAGTTTGTTCTTTTTCTTGCACTACACTTGGCTCAATACTCTTGTGTTCTGAAGATGATTTCTGTTCTGTGTTTTCTGTTGTCTTAGCATTTATTCTGGCGAGTTCTTCAGGATCGGGAGCGCCGATTCCCGTCTCTAAGACGGTGGAGATGCCCTGAAATTACGGTAACAGAGTTTGTGATATAATAATTGGGATCATGAGAAAATATTTTTTCTTTGTCTTACTAGAGAAGAATATAAAAAAAAATTTGGACATATAGTTTATCTTTATTCACATAAACAAAACATTACAGCGATGTCGCATAAGTCACGTCTTGGTACAATTTTTAGAAGTGATGTCACGAGCCAGTCTTCCAAATTCGGACGCGCTTTATCTTTGTAATTTCTTCTGAGGGGCAACAGTGGAAAACATAGGTTTTGTATACATCAAAAAATAGCAGAAACTTTAAAAAAATGTAGCCAGAAGGATAAGTTTGTAACCGTTGAAAATAGAACTCTGAGACTAATTGAATATGGGCTCTTAAATGAAACTCCTAAATTTTCATATTACTGTATCTGACTAATTTAAATAATTTTGATGAATGAAATACAGAAATAAATATTGGACTATTTGCAAGAGTTGGTTTATACTTTAAATTTTAATAATAATATTAGTCATTTCATTTATTTCATAATTTAATTGTTTCTATCAGCGTGATTGATTCCTAACCGACCACCACATTTTGTTGTCAGACCAATATATATGCTATCAAACATGCATGGCACCAACACCAAATGTTAAATTAACTTATAATGAATTTCAACCAATGAATTCAAAAAGGAGGAGGTTCTCAATTTGTCCATATTTTGTTTTTATTGTTGTTTGAGCATATCCCGAGATGCATAGACCGATTTTGATGATACTTTTTTGTTTGAATCAGTGTTTGAGTACTTTATTACAAAAACCAGAAACACCTCAATAACCATCAGACACAAATACGTGTTTGTTTTTTCAAAAAGAAATTAAAGTATTATTGTAAGCTTGGTAACCTATATTTAGATAATATTACTCTCTCTAGCTTATAAAAATTTGGAAAATAAAAATTACTTTTTCCCAAAATTAAATCGGAACCCATAAAAACAAAAACCACTAAAAACATACAATTCTTTATACCTATCCATAATACATTTTAAGTAAAATTAACTTTTGAAGTCCGTGCCATGCATATTGATTGTCTGAGTTACCATTTACTGCTTGGCTTGGCATAGCTACGACACTATATGTTAATTTGATATGTAGTATAGATATAAGTAAAAAAAATTAATTATATTGGTAAAATTGATTTTTATTTTCATTAAAATTATTTAGATAAAGTAAAGATTAGGAATTTTTAGCCATTTTGCAGAGAATATACATTTTTAGGAAGTTGCTAGGCATAGACAGGATAAGTGGAAAATTTAATTTTTCATCCCGTTGTGTGTAAAAATTGTCTTACTTGAGAAACTTGACTAGTAAGGGTGGTGATTCCTGCAGAAGCTGTACTCAGTAAGGAATCGACTCCCCATCCCCAGCCCCAACCGCTGTTCTTCGATGTGGCTGATGCTAATCTGTCGGTCAATTCCTTGATGTCAGCTGCAGATTTATCTGTTTGTGTCTGAAATTTTTTTGATTTAATGTTAATGATTCCCCATGTGCTTTTAAAAATGAACTGAATAGATTATCTTATTGTATTATTTGCTGCAATATTAGTCAATTCCAAAAGAGCAAATAAAATTGAACAGATTTATTTTTATTCAATTTTAATTTGAAATTCTATAGGGCAAATTTAACAAGATATTAAATACATTCAGACTAAATTGCATAAAGAAAATCCAGAAATTTGTATTTTTTTTTTCCTGCACAATAATTTTTTGTTATGATTATTTAAAATACCTTTTCTGTGGTAACTGCAGTAGTAGCTGTTGCATCATCATTTCCCCAGTCATCAAAGTCATCCCAACCTGTGGACTGTGGTTTGTCAGCCTCCTTAGTTAATTTTTTTGTTTCCTTAACTTTAGTAAGCTTTTCATTTTCTACGGGGCAATCAATATCAAAATCATCCCAACCATCGGTTTTTGCTTCCTTTAGGTACAAAATTGCACATATATATTACCAGAAAATACTAATGTTTCTAAATAATACAAATACTTGAATGGTTGATAGAGCATTGATTAAATAATATATTTATTAAAGCAAAGAAGGTAATGTGGAAACTTGTTTTTTTAAACTAATATAATGAAGCAAATTTGTAAAATGGCCTGCAAGAAAACTTCCGTGAGTAATGTGCAGGAGCAACTTGCAATACTGTCACAAGGGTACTTGCTACGTAGTTTACATTTGCAAATTGTTGTTGGACGTTACTTGCAGATGGAAATACAGCCTTCTCCTCAGGCTGTACCACCTAAAGTGATAACATATCAAAAAGTAATCACTGATACAAATAATACAGTCCTAAACCAGAGAAGGTAGCACGCCCAGCAGCTAATCATACAAACATATTGTACAAAATTTGAGGTTGCTCTTCAACTGCTTAATCATTATAAAACTCTTTTACTTACGACATTAGGTTCTACATTGACTTTTTGGCTGTTATCTTTTGCAGTTACTTTGTCGCCAGTGTTGGTTTCTTGCGAGTTACTATCACTATAGTGCGAAGAGGATGTTCTTTTTTTTCTCACTTTTTTATCGGTCTCAGGGCTACCTTCGTCCGCGCTTTCGAAATCTTCGCTGTCACTAGAAGGCATTATTATTATGTTATTTTTCACTATTTCAATTAGCAGATAATTACGTGATAAATAATTAAAAAATATTTCTCCGCTTCCAATGTCTACGTGTTGTTGACATCATTTACGATGAAATTTGACAGTGACAGATGACAATGACAGCTGCAGCCTGCTCCACATGTTTTACGTTCCGTTCATGTTTAGTTTTTAGATACATTTTGATTTAATTATAATATTTCAGCAGTTTCATGTGGAACTAGCAGTAACTATTGGGAATAAACAAAAATGCCCGCTCAACATTGTTTTTAGAATTATGTTTGATAAAATTTACTTATTTCTCTGTTATTATTTTATTAAATAATTGTAGATACAATAAGAAATTTATACCAATATTATAAAGAGGAAAGATTTGATTGTGGAAAAATATCAATATAATTAAAAAATTAAAACATGATTTCCGTTAAAAATGATTTAAAATGTAAAAAAATCTCTAGTATTTATCTCGTTGTTAATGCTACTATAATATGTATTTGTATATCTTTGATATGACCTCATTAAGAGCTTTCAAATGATATCTTTAATGTAATAATTAGATATTTTTTTTAATTATCATTATTATGTAACATTTTGTCATTGCTGTTATTTCAATTACTTATGACAGTTAAGTATCCTATGTTACCCGGAGTGACGAAAGGGTAAGGATTCTAATTCTGACAATACCACACATATCTAAGGCGTTTAAAAGTTATGTTATGGTGGAATAAAGAATTGTACATACCTAGTCAGGTCATAAATTCTGTCACGTGTTTAATATAAAATAATTGAAACAAGTTTATTCATTATGTAACCATTTTTATACCAAAATGAACTTAACAATACATAGATTCTTTTGACAATAAAGTTTATTCGAAATGACCTCCGTGATTTTGAATACAGACCTTCAATCTGCGCGGCCAGTCGTCTATCGCAGCACGAACGAGGTCCATATCAATATCGGCGGCTGCCTTAATCAAGGATGTCTTGTTGAGTGACTCCAAATTGGGATGAGGATTTAGCACGCCTTTTCCTTCAAGTATTGCCATATCTTCTAAACCTGAAGATTTGTTGATAGAAAAAGAAACCACCAATCCGCGCTAGGTCTGTTATCACCCTCCAAGTTTTTGCCGTACGGATGCGGAACCCAAAAAAAACATTTCCGTTTCCTTATGAAGTTATTTATTAACATCTTAAGCTTCATTACGAAACCATTTGAATTTAATGATATAACTATAACTTTGTAGATTATTATATTTTTAGTTCAAGCATTTAACTCACAGAACATCTTTCTATCTTCTGTGATTTAACTGCTAAGATGTTTGAATTTAAGAAAATTTGACAAAAAACCTATCTACAACCTGGATCGAGTGCATTTTTGTCTACTAAAATATTTCGTAGATTATATCTATGTAATTATAACGGTTTGTCAAGTAACGTAAGTCCATAAGTACATTATCAATATCTCCTTATTGGTTGTTAATTAGTTGATAGGTACTTTTAATCTATATTCGTTTAATTTTTGATACACACTAATATCCGGTTCAATCAGCTATACCATTGTTCTTCCGTTATTTTTGCGTAGGAAGTTAAAGAAATAAACTGTACACCAAGTACGAATTTTGACAGATCCGTATTCTTATCGCCAACGTCAAAGTTGCTATGGGAACTTAGCAGCGCTATCGGAAGTAAGAGCAAACCAGCTTTTCCATAGAAATTTTGACTTTCTCGTTAGTTTTTCATGCTTGGGGCACTGATGATAATATAAAGATGTTATTATTATATTTTTGTAAATAAAACTCAGCAAATCATTTCGCCTCACCTTCTTAGTGTAAAAGAGTGGAATCACGTCACGCCAGTCACGAAGACATCTCCACTATGTCGGCCTGAATCTAACCCATGGAGCCCGGTAACCTTGATATATCGACTCGGAAAGGCATCTTCACCGTATCAATTTGAGCCGTTCAGTATTTTTTGTATAACGTAATACCTTGCCTCGTGGTCAACTCTCCGTACCCTTGCTTACGTCTCTCCGTAGCCTATCTTACGTCTCTCCGTGCCCTAGCTTACGTCTCTGCGTAGCCTAGCTTACGTCTCTCCGTAGCCTAGCTTACGTCTCTCGGTAGCCTAGCTTACGTCTCTCCGTAGCCTAGCTTACATCTCTCCGTAGCCTAGCTTATGTCTCTCCGTAGCCTAGCTAACGTCTCTCCGTAGACTAGCTTACGTCTCTCCGTAGCCTAGCTTACGTCTCTCCGTAGCCCAGCTCACGTCTCTTCGTAGACTAGTGCCGCCTTGAACCTGTGCCGCCTAGCTGTCAAGCAGCGGTTGGCGAAAGGAAACCGCGGCTTGCGTCGCCTAGCCGTAGCCGAACCGAAGGTACTGGAGCTGCTTTTCCGCTTAGGTAACATTTTTACGTTAGGTGGGCGCCTATCCCACAGCAAGCCGAACAGGCCTGATTTAGAGTTCAGACCACCCTAGGCTAACAATGAATATGCCCCTCCCCCCTTTCTGCCGTGTACTACACTTTCATTAATTGCGGGTGCAACTAATTTAATTATAATACAAGTACAGAAGAGAGCGCAACCTAACATCATTCAATCAAACTGTCAGGAAGTAAGTAAACGAAAGACGAAAAAATCATATAATTCTAACACTTACTTTTACAATTTATTTATAGTCCTAAAAATAAAATAAAAAGAAATTATAAAAGAAAAAAAATATTGAGGCAGTAAATTGCCCTATTACTTTAAGAACTGAGAACATTAAATCCCACCAAAAACATTTACATGTAAAATGTTACCAAGACGAGACCATACAGCTCGCACTGTCAAAAAGTTGTTAGATCTCATGTAGAGCCTTCTTCTAACTCTGCACGTCATAACTCTACAAGGCTTAACTTTACAAACTCTACATCTTATTCATAATATGTGGCTTGACCATTTCACAACAATAACATTCTTCCCGTAAGGTGAAAAATTTATCCACTGTTCATTACTTTTCTGCTATACAGTAGTTCTCGTGGTAACGAAATGCCAAGCCACATGTTTGTGAAGTTAGGCGTTGTAGAGTTAGGGCGTGTAGAATTAGAAGCTTGACTTTAAATGAAATCCAAAAACTTTTTGGCAGTGCGAGGCATATGGTCTCGTCTTCGTAACATGAAAATGTTATTGTGAGATTTCATTTATTTATTTAAGTTCCTTGTGGTATGTTTTTTTTGTTGTTTATAGTGAAAAATAGTCCCTTTAGCAATTTTCAGACCCCTAGCGACAAAATTGCACACGGCACATACTAACTTCTATCCTCTAGTTTAAAGGTTGGAGGATAAAAGTTACAAATTATAATTTTTTTATTGTGTTCTAACACTAACTTCTTTATACCAAATTTCAGCTTTCTAGGACATTAGGAAATTCCTTATTAGATATAAATCAGGGATTTTTAGATGTCAATAAAATCTAAAGTATAAGAGCTATGCAATTGATACTTTATAAGTTGGATACTGCGAAAAATCCAAATAACCGACATTTATGTATTTTATTATTATTTACCCACAACAAAACTTCGTTTATCACAAGATTGGATGAGAGAATACTTACCTATTTATCCCAAACAAGTACTAATTTTATTAATTATGATATGATTGTGAGTGCAGTTTTATATGTACTATTCATGTGGTTTTACTTATTGTTTTGATATTACATCGGAAAAGAAATCTTGTTTTTAATAAAAAAAACAGAACAGTGTGAACCTCATTTGGAAAGGATGTTAACTTGAAAATAAAAACCAGCCAAGTGCGTTTCGTGCCACGCGTAGAGTAGGGTTCCGTAATTGCCTTTCGTTACCGCAATATATTTGAGCAGGAGTCTTTATTTTCTGTATCGGAAATTAAAAACAAAACAATTTTTAAATAGTTTTTTTTTATTTGTTTTTAATGCAAGGTTTTATACTACAAGTACTTCATCTAAGTCAGTATTATTGGTTTTCTTTTCTAAGGAATTTCCAATAGGTATGAAATTTATTTTAACCAAAGTTGAACGACTATTACTTTTAAATTAACAAATCGATTTTAACCGTTAGTTCATAGTTCATAGTTCTTCAGGGCGGTTTCCGCACTTAGTCTTAATTATTGGACCATTGTGCGTGTCTCAAAACATTCCCGCTTACTCCAGCCATCCTATATCGGTCCAGAAGGAAAGCAGCCTTGGTAGACTGCTGCAAGCTTCCGGAAACGATTCTGGTGACTGGAGAAGTCGTGCCCGTTGGTCGGCCACACTCTGGTATAAGAGCTGGCTACGAAAAAGTGAACTGATAAGGTGTAGTAACAAATTATATATATAACCTCTCTTTGGTAGCTGATAAGTACAGAGCGAGGCCCGTCAGAACTCTCTCCCGGGGCGGAAGGCGTGGGTGGGCGGTCAAAATCGTAAATTTTCAATAAGAAAAAAATGATAAGGTGCAGTTCTGAAATTTGGTAGAGTTATAGTTTTTAACTGTAGGAATCTAGGAAAATTATTGTCAGAAGTCTAGGTCGGGGCTTAAAGACTGTCAGAAGTCGATAAAGTTGTAAAGAAATTGTTTAAATTTAAACCACAAGGTGTAGTTCTGACAAATGCATTTTTATATTATTTATAGCTTACCAAACCTGCATATATATTGTGCAAAAATTGACGATTTTATTGTCAGAAGGCTAAATAATGGCTAAGTACAGAAAAAAATATGATATGGCCAGAAGTTGCTGAAGCGGCTATCGCGATGAAAAGGAATGTTTCAAAATTAAATAACAAGATGCAGTTTTGGCTATCTATTGTTTTTATTAATTACACTGTTATTTCAATAAATATGCAATGACAAAAGGTTAAGCGAGGGAGATAAAAAAAATATAAAAACTGTGATGCCGAGTAATTGCTGACTTAGACGAGAAACTTTAAAAAAAATATACGTACTCAAAAAAAGCCAAAGAGAGGTTATATATATAATTCGTTACTACACCTTATCAGTTCACTTTTTCGTAGCCAGCTCTCCGGCTACTCCTGCATTCCATGATGACATGCTGTGGCGTTTCTTCTGCCTCCATGCATCCTCTGCATAGGGGGCTGTCTGTAACT